TGGGTGCCGCGGGCGGGACGACCTTTCCGTGCGCCGCATCTGCCATCTGCCATTTTCCCTTCCCTGTCCTTGTCCTTGTCGTCGTTGATGGAGAGGGGGGTGGCGGCAACAACACCAACGGCGTCCGTTCACCTCGAGACGGACAAGCCGCCGGATGGCCTGTGCGACCCCTGGAGGACAAGGAGCGGCGCGGGATGGCAGAAGCAAGACCAGGGTCTCAATTTTGACTTCATCCTCTCTCTCCTCGGTCGTCTTTTCCCACCATTCAAAGGACCGGTCTTTGTTTGTCGCCATCATCCACATACCATCAAACACCGGGCGGCCCGAGGGAGCGCTGGAGGGTTGTAGACGACATGCTGCTGCCAAGCAAACGACAGCCGAGGGAAAATGCTCATCACCGGTTTCTCGGGCTGCTGTCACTGTCACTGTCGCCGGCGCCTGGCCTGATCTGGTCGTGGTCACTTTCCCGTCTCTCTGGGAGGCAGCAAAACTGACGATCCAATCGGCGCGGGCGTCGGTCCATCACCCCCAAGACCGAGGCGCTGTCCAGCTTGCATATCGCAGCGGTGGGCTGAGGCAGATCCCCCCATCTCACCGCGCTGGCCGCAGTGTGCATTCGTTTTTTCTACACTTGGTTGGGTTGCTGTCTCTGGGCGGAGGAAAATTTCCGCGTCTTTGTCAGAGAGCCACACGCGACGTCAAGAGGAGGAAACCCCCCGATGCACTCACTGCAGGACGGACAGATCCGAGTATGGACGGCGAGGTGATGGAAATTGGAAACACCGCGGCGCGTCATGTTGACCTCTCGAACGACTTGGAGGTGACCAGCGCCCGCCGTGATCTCATCTGATGGGTTGACACGGGGCACGTCCTGCCCAATGAAGACGGCAACGGTTTCTCGCCTCGGCCCTCGGTTGGAGTTGGGCAGCAGCGAGTCCTCAATCTTGCACCAGGAATCAGGATCAGCATCGGCACTCCCCGCAATTCCGGTTCCCGGGCCTGCCCGGCATCTGCCCCCCCCCCCCATACCTGGTCCTGCACGGCAAGCGATGATCGATCCCCAGTCTGTGCACCCGGCGAGTCGCCGGTCCGTTCGCACAGAGGTGTGCCTCGATCTTGATGACGAGGCCTCGACTTTATGCGGTCAGGATGCAATCCGCCCTCGCTTGGATCCAACAGACAACGGGCCGGCGTTGCGCTGGCCCAAACCTTAAAGCCGCGATGCGGCGGTGGGTGGCAGTGGCATCCATCAAGACCAGGACTTCGGGCCGTCACCGCTCCTGTGAAAGTACTCCGTACAGGGTGAGAGGGCCAACATGGCGATAACCGCCCCTACCAAGGTTGGTTTGGCCGTGGCCCTCGCCGGTTTGTGACCGTGTGTCCGTCTGGCGCCTGGTTGACCAGTCACTCCGGACCACATCTTTTGGGGGGTGGCCGCGGACCTGGCTTCCCTGCCCCGTCCCCGACTCCCAGACCCGGGGCGGATCCAAGATGACGCCCCCATGTTGCTCTCATCTTCAACCCAGCCCGGACAGCCAGCGAGCGCCAGCCCTGCCAGATATTGGCGGCCACAAACGGGCTACCGATACGGATGGGTGGGCGTGAAAAAGACGACCTCGAGGCAGAGCATTTCTTTTTGACGTGCGCCCTCCCCCTCCCCCCTCCCCTCCCCCCACTCCCCCGATGCAGCCCTTGGTCCGCCTTCAAACTGCCCATGGCCCATGACATGACTCCACCACCTATTTTCTCTTCTCAACCCTGTCTCCGAGGAGGGTCACCATGACCTCGACAAGCGGCGTTGATCTCTTTCTTCTTCCACCTACGGCATATTGTTCCGAGGTGTCTCTTGTCATGGGATGAGGGAGTTTCGGTCCCCTTTCTTCTTTCCAAGGTTGAAGGCACCAGCCGAGTTAACATTGACACCTCAACTCTTACACTGTCGTCACCCGCCTTTTTTTCTCCCTCTCCCCTTTGCCCACCTCTGGACCCCGACTGCCCCTAACAAGCTGCTTCTTTGACTTGCTTGCTCTTCTTTGACCTCGAGCTCCGATACGAAGAGCAAACGACACTTGTCGTCACACACCAAGACGCCCAGCGTATGGGCTGCCATCCCGAGGTCATCCACCATCGCTCGGCCGATCTCCTGGCTCTCACTCCTCACCGACTCTTTTAGTCTGCCTAGCGCCCACACACGAGAGGTGTAAATCACACTGGCGTCAATATCATCCGGTGTTGATCGCAACTGCCGCCCAACGTCTCCCAACGATCGACTCACGCCTTCTGGGTTGTCATCTGACCTCGTCGAGTTGAGACCGAGTGCTCCTGCAAGACAGACGCACTCTGCCCTCATCAACCCTCGTTTCCACACCCGCCTACCCACCTACCCTACCCACACGTGCTTCCTCTTCTGACGACATCCTCCCGACCATCCGCCATGTCTTCGCTGTCTATTGATGGATCCTATCGTTGACGCAGGGTTGTCTTCGAACCCTCGCCAGGTGGTCGACCATGGAACACTTTGCCTGGCCGCTCCGGTCGATGCCGCAGCAGTCGGCAGCTTGGGCACCGGCCCTGATGGGCCTCCTCAGGCTCGTCCTCGGACGGGCCATGACGGAGTCCTTGTCTTCGCCCGTTGTCGCCCGGGATATCATCGCCGCCCGCCAGAACCGCCCGTTCACCATCTCGACGCTGGCCATCCTGTCGCTCACGTTCGCCTCGCTCAGCATCGTCTCGACACTCTGCACTCTCTATTGGTTCGTAAAGATGCGGAAGGGCTTTCGACATGAGTACACACAGCCTTGCTCCACGGCGCCGCGTCCAATAAATGGCTGACATGGGAATAGGTTGATCATGCTGCTGATCCAGAGCGACTTCATCAAGTCGGTGGCCTTCTTGGTCTTCCCCATCGTCAGCTTTCTCCGTGGGTTCGTCGAGTCCGACTCCAAATTCTGCCAGGCTAGCGGCTTCATTCTGGCTATGGGCATCGAAGCCTCCGACATTGCAGTTTTGCTGATCGCCCTGCACTCGCTCATGTACATCTTGCGGCCCCGATCCGGCCTGTACCCCTACCGACGCTTCGCATATCTGATCTATTACGTTTTCCCCACCCTGATCGCATCCATGGCCTTCATCAACGGCAAAGGCTACGAGAACGTTGGCCACTATTGCTATCTCGACAGAAGCGCAGGATGGCGACGGATGGCGCTCAGTTGGATTCCTCGCTACATCATATCGACGACAATCATCGTCATATACGCCTTCATCTACTTTTATATTCGTGGTCGCATGATTGACTACGGGCGTAGGAGCTCGGGCTTCGTCGAGGACGCAGCTCTTCGCACCCCCATGCCGGCTGTCCCCAGCCTCTCCTACCACGGGCTCCTTTCGTCGGCCGCTACATCTCGGAGAGGCTCCGCTGCCGACTCGGTAGTCACCAAGACGCGCCAGAGGTCGATATCCTCCGCTAGTTCTGTCGGATTGACCCACGACGGCTTCGCGACTCACACCCATGCGGTTGCTTCCCACTCCCGACGAACCGTGGAGTGGGCGTGGACCGGTTTCCCTCAACAAGCCACCTCCGAGAAAGTCGGAGGAGCAGACGATCCGCCGGACCCTCTCGCCCCAGTCCTCGAGAACATATCCGAACCATCCCCTACTCACGCTCCGCGCGATGCCCACCACCCCGACATCGAACCGCTAGAGCGATCTTTGGCACCACAGCCACAACACACGAGTCACACAAATAGGACCACTCGTCCGAGTCCTGTCGAGTCTGTCGCCCAGCCCACTCCCGCACCACCTACCTTGACAGGCTCCTTCCGCCAGAAATTCCGAACACGACCCAACCCGCTATCCTCTACATTCCGCCCGAAACCGCCCCTCAGCCTCGCCCCCACCGCCGACACCGACCCGATCGTCTTGTCGTCCGCCTTCCTCGAACCAGGCCTCGAGCAAAACCGCGACAAGGTCCGCCGCCAGCTCCGATCCCTCTTCATGTACCCGCTCGTCTACATCATCGTCTGGGTCTTTCCGTTCGTGTCGCACGTCATGGGGTACGACGACTCGGTCCGGCCCGGCGACCCGGAGTGGCTGCTCATCCTGGGCATCATCAGCCTGTGCGGGCAGGGCACGGTCGACTGCGCGCTGTTTACCTTTCGGGAGCGGCCGTGGCGGCAGGCGCGGGGCGGGTTCTGGGAGTCGCTGTGGAAGCGGCTGAGGCTGTTTGACTCGGATGTCTCGAGCTGGGGGCTCTCGGGGCGGACGCAGGAGGAGATGTTGGTGGATGGGAAGCTGGCGAGGCAGAGGCGGGATGAGGAGGAGGTCTGGGAGAGGATGAGGAGGGAGAGTCCGGTGCAGGCGGGGGTGAAGGGGGTTGATCGCGGGCCCGTGAGGGAGTGGTGGGATGTGGACTTTGATGATGAGGTGAGCAGTGAGGAGCTGGGGAGCTTGGGGGATGAGGAGGCGATGACGGGGGGGAGGGAGGTGAGGGTTCATTTTCCGGAGGAGCTTGCGATAGGGGAGGGTATGGCGAGGAGGAGCATTTGAGGTGGGAGACGTGCATTGAGGAGGAGATTGGAAGGGGATTGTTTTGTTTTGTTTTGTTGGGGTCGGCGGCGTTGGTGGTGACAGACAGCATTGGATTGGGCGTTTACGGGGTGTGTTTGGCTACTACGGATCTATACCCCCTCTTTCTTTTGTATGGCGGCGGACAATGTTCATGCGAGATGGGCATGGCATCGGGATGGGTGAGGAGTCGGCATGTGGGAGGTTCCTGCGCCTGGAGAGTTGGGGGGAATAACATGGAAAGGGGCATTGGATGGGCATTATTACGGCTATACTATCGATATGCTAGCTAGACGCAAGTCAAGAAATATTTATCTTGTGGGTTCGAATCCCATCTCTCCTACGTCTATCTTTCCGGCTGCACCAGCGATGTTCCCCTGGGGTATCCGTACATAAGCAGAGATGCTTTGTAAGTATTCCAATACGAAAAGTCAAAGGGGGGAGTAGCTCAGCGGAAAGAGCGTAGCGAACTTGCATACTGTGTGTTTCATACCTAAAGATCTGACATCAGCGTGCGCCCCGCGGTTCCTAAGGTCATGGGTTCGAATCCCATCTCTCCTACGTCTATCTTTTTGGCTGGCTGTCCAGCGGTGTCTGTCCCCCTGGTGTTTTTTTCGTATTAAGCTTTGCTTGGATAGCAGCAGCTAGGCGTGTAATTCTGGACGGGACTCTCTTGCTGCTACATCCGGTATCCCGTGTGAATCTGTTGAATGTCTGACCTGCTGCAGCCGATCTCCCGGGAACCAGGGGATTGGAGATCGGCATCATGTCGGAGTCGGGCTTGGCGGCGGGTGCTAGATCTCGGAGCGGGTGTGCTCGGGTAGTCAGTCACTGGTGTGTGTCGATCTTTAAATAGTCGCCCGGAGTTAACCCCGGGATGGGGGGGGCTCGGGGCGATCACGGTGAGATTCTGGGTCGGGGTCTGGTCGGGTGAGGGGGGGGGTTAAGGGTTTGGTGATCTGCTTTGGCTCGTTATGAGAGATGAGTATGGGCTTGGGGTCATTGTTGCGCGAATGTCATTAGGTTGTTCTTGCGCGGGGAGTTTTGGGGGGGCGTGTTGTGACATGTCGTGGTTGAGACATCGTTTTGCGGGGGACACATTGATTGACGTCGCCGGCCGGCCTAGTGCCCGGCGTTCCACAACCGGGGGTAGCTGAACAGGCCACAGGGAGGGGGAGGACAGACGACGGGCGTACAAGAGCATCAAAAAATGGAATGGGGATATCTCACGCTAAACTACATGTACTATGCTTTCACTTCCATCCTGCCATCTCGCCAGCCAGCCAGACAGCCAGCCAGCCAGGCACACAGGTAAGTCACGCCGCCCCCCTCAAAAACTCCAAAAACACCCTCGCCATCACCACCCCGTCATGCTCCTCCCCCCGCCGCGCCATCCCGTCCCGGAACAGCCCGTCGTCAAACAGCCCCGCGCCCCGCCGCGTCTCGAGGATCTCCCCCATCATGTCCTCGGTGAACTCGGGGTGCCCCTGCACCGTGATGACGCGCCCCGGGACGATGAAGCCGTGGTTCGGGCACGCCGGGGTGGAGGCCAGGAGCGTCGCGCCGGGCGGGACGCCGAGGGCTTGGTCGCGGTGCATTTGTTGGATTTTCTGGGTCCGGTGGTGTTAGTCCTGGGGGGTGGGAAAGGGGGGGGGGAGGGGAGGGTACCAGCGTCTCCCGCCCGTCGAAGAGCGCCTGGCCCGCGAGGGTTAGGTGCGTCTCGGTCACGCTAACCTCCCACCCGGCGTCGGCGCGGCGGACGGGCACGCCGAGCGCGCGCGAGACGATTTGGTGGCCGAAGCAGACGCCGATGATGCGGATGTGGGGGGTGGTGAGGGCGGCGCGGACAAAGTCGACCAGGGCGAGGATCCACGGGGTGTCTTCGAAGGCGGAGTGTTTGGAGCCGGTGATGAGGATGGTGTCGATGGAGGAGAGGGGGGGGTAGGAGGTCGGCGTGCCGGGCGGGGGGGAGTCGTCGACGATGTGGTGGCGGGAGAGGGTGAGGGCGGAGGAGAGGGGGGTGGGGGCGACGGCCCGGGTGAAGAGGTGGGTGAAGACGCCGTGGTAGCCGTGGTAGCGGGCGTCGATGCCGGGGAGGGGGGTGTCGGCTTCGAGGATGGCGAGGCGGAGGGGGGGCGGGGGGGGGGACATGGTGAGGGCTGGGGGATGGGACCGATGAATGACTGCCGGAATGGACGGTGGGACGGGCTATGCGGGCGTAGAGGGGCGATGTTGGCGAGAAAGGTATTGCAGGTTGGCGGGCGGACGACGGCTACCCCCGAAAGATGTCCCGGAGAGGTTATGTCCGGGGTCGCCGGGTCTTATCGGGGGGGTTGAGCCGGCCGATAAGCCCCGCCATGGATGGAGCCGGTGTTCCGGGTGTTCGGACCCCGCAGGCCGGGGGCGCGTCACATGCACTCGGCAGCAGAATGGATGGTGGCGAACTTTGAAAAGTATTTATTTTCATGTTTTGGCGGCCTCAAATGAAACTGACTGACTTGTGACCATGCGAATGGAGTCTTGACCTTGGCGAAAATCGATGTGTGCCGAACATCTCGATCGTCATTCGGAAAACAGGGGCCGCGCGGCAAGGAGCCGTTGTTTCCAAGGAGAGGGTTCCTTGGAATTTGCGTCTATAGAGGGGTGCTGTATGGGCTTCTGAGTTTCAGGGCATTGTTGCCCCGGGAAGAGGTGGGGGGGGTGCCTGTAGCCCTACCCAGAAATTCAGAGAAATCCATTGGCGGCCTCTCGCCTCTCGTATCTGACCCATCAAGGTGAACGCAACGACTCCAACAACATCCAGAAATCCCGTCTCCACGGTGTGACGGGTCGGCCCGAGCAGACTCCCTGGAACAATATCGTGAAAACAGGCAAGGACATACTAGAGTGTCAACCTGGAAGAAGTTGTGGTATTCGCCACAGCCTCTACATAACATATCCTCCTCATCGCTCTCCTCTCCCATGTATAATCCCGCCCATGGGAAAGCCGATTTGGCATTGGATCAGAAACCGCAAGACATGTCGATGAGGCGCGTACCGCTCAAGGCGTTTCTGGACAGGGCCAGAAAGGTGCTGGCCGCGCCTCCGGTCCGCCGGCCGAACCCCTTGACCTTTGTCATTGGCAACGAGTCCGCAGGTTTGACCCCCCCCCTCTCCCACACCGAGCCATCCAACTCACACAACCCCAGATCTCGACTCCCTGTGCTCGGCCATCCTCCTGGCCTACTTCCGGACCAACACGCCGCCCCACGGCCTCCACATCCCCATCTGCAACCTCCGCCGCGCCGACCTCGCCCTCCGTCCCGAACTCGGCGCCGTCCTCCAGCCCGCCGGCCTCGAACCAGACGACCTCCTCACCCTCTGTGACCTCCCCAACGATGTCCTCCTCCCCATCCAGGCCCGCTGGTTCCTCGTCGACCACAACGCCCCCACCGGCCACATCCGCGACACCTACCTAACCAAAGCCCAGCCCAACCCCTTCGTCGGCTGCATCGACCACCACGACGACGAGCTCGTCATCCCCCCCACCGTCACCCCCCGCCTGATCTCCAAGTCCGGCAGCTGCACCAGCCTCGTCCTCTCCCACTGCCGACCCATGTGGATGAACCTGCCCTCCCACCCCTCCATCGACGCCGAGCTCGCGCACCTCGCCCTCGGCCCCATCCTCATCGACACCACCAACCTCCGCGCCGCCGAGCGCACCACCCCCGTCGACGTCGCCGCCGTCGACCTTGCCGAGTCCAAGCTCGTCCCCTGCCACCTCACCACCGCCGCCGCCTCGGCCACCCAGGAGGGCTTCTACGACCGCACCACCACCACCACGGCGTGCGAGGACGGCGGCCGCGACCGCGTCACCACCACCACCACCACGCGCGAGGAGGGCGGCTACGGCCGTCGCGTCACCACCACCACCACCACCACGTCTGGTGGCACCGGCGTGTACGACCGCACCGCGTTTTTCGACGCCATCACCGCGCTCAAGGAGGACATCGCCAAGCTGTCGCCGCGTGATGTCCTGCGCAAGGACTACAAGCGCTGGGCGGCCGACGCAGAGGACTCGGAGGACTCCCTGGCGCTGGGCATCTCGGCCGTCATGCGCGGGCTGCCGTACCTGGTGTCGGGGGACTCGCGGTTCGGGAGCACCGAGGGGTTCCTGGAGGCGGTGCGGGCGTGGGCGCGGGAGGAGAGGCTGGATGTGGTGGGGGTCATGACGGTGTCGAAGCCCGAGGGGGTGTTTACGCGGGAGCTGATGGTGTGGGCGTTTGGGGGGGCGGCGGCGGCGGCGGGGCGGGAGTTTGCGAGGAGGCATGGGGAGCGGTTGGGGCTGGAGAGGTGGAGGGGGGGGGGGCTGGAGGTGGATGGGGAGGGGGAGTGGAGGGGGTGTTGGGTCCAGGGGAATAGGGAGTTTAGTCGGAAGCAGATTGCGCCGATGATTAGGGAGGTTATGAGGGGGGATGCGAAGTTGTAGGGGGTGGGGGGTTAAGAGAGTCTTGGTGTTGGATGTTTCTCCATTCTGTGTGAATGGGGAGAAATATCAATCTACCGGCGTGGGCAGGTGGCTTTTTAGTCCTGTCTTGCGTATTCCGGGTTCTATATTCCATGTTTTACATGTGGTGGTACAGTACAGTCTTGATACTCGTCCTGTCTCCTTTGGTCCTGTCCTCACAACTGCCCCAACCGAGAGGCGGCGCACAATCTCCTTGAGAAGTCACCCCCTCCCCGGAAGAGGCAGATCGCGTCCCAGCATACCTGCCAAATCTGGTGCCTGAGAACAAGGCGCGAATGGAGCGGCGGCCAGTCTTGGTCTGAGGCATGTCGCCGCGGCTGGGCAGCGACTGGTGGCACTGGCAAGACCCTTTTGAACCCGCCAGGCCATGGTATCATCTCTCCTACATGCGCCCTCAACCCATGGTTGTTCGCCTGCGGTCAGGTTCCTCCTCCTCCTCCCCCAACTCCTGCAAGAGACCGGCCTTCCCCGTCCGCTTGAGCATGCCATTCCACAGCCGCTCCAGATCCAGCTCCTTGCGCCTCGACTCGGTCATGACCTGCACAATGACCGTGTCGCCCGTATCGGCCACGCCAAAGCCTGTGACCTTGCCAAAGTCGTCAACCACCTCCGTCTCCTCGTGCGACGACCCAATGGTCCCGAGGTTGACGCATATCCAGCCCGTCGAGATCCCGTCGCTGCCCCCCGACTCGACGCTCGCACTGCCCATGAGCTTGGCCTTCCTCGCCTTGCGCCGCAGCCGCGTCTTGAGCTCGTTGCGCCCGAGGAGGCCGTCGGCGTCGGCCGTGATGCCTCGCCCCCGCAGCCAGCGCACCAGGCGGTCGGCCGAGACGTGGAGATGCCGCTCGCTGCGCGCGGTGCCGAAGAGCATGAAGAGGCTGGGGCCGAGGGCCGGCGGGGGGTCGACTTCGCGCAGGTCGAGCAGCGAGAGGTCGTCGAGGCCGAGGTCCTCGGACACGAACTTGAGCATGGGTTCCATCAGGGCGGGCGAGCCTTCGGGGATGTCGGGGAGGGGTGGCGGCTCGTGGAGGAGGGTTGGGTGCCGCGGGGGCTC